ATTTTTAATTTGACATTAATTAATATTAATTTATACTGCTAGATGATAATATTGTTGATGATGATTATGATGATGATGGAAATATCAATGATAATAATATGGGTAATGTATTTATTTATTTTTATTTATTTGTAAATAATTATAATAATAAAGGTATTATAGTCAACAAATTTAAGGACACAAAAATTGAGTTGTGCAAAAATTTAAATTTTTGTGGTAATGTGAATTTGATTACACCAAGATTTGTTGATTCATTTTATTTATTATTTACATTAATTATATTCATTAGAACAAACAAATTAACATAAGAATATTATTTATTATATTTTCTTCATTAGCAAGTATTTGTTATGTTGATGATGATCAATATCAAGATGATGTTGATGATGACCAAGATCAAGATGATGTTAATATTGATGATGATGGCAATGATCAAAATGATGTTGCTAGAAGTAATAAAAATAGTGTTTATTTTTATTTGCTTAGTTATATAATTTATATTTTAATAGAATTTTAATTATATTATTAAATTTACATGGTATCTTTTTTTGTTTCAAATTAACAGATCAAATCAAAAATGGGAAAAGAAAAAAAAGTACAAAAGAAGATGGTGAAGATGTTGGCAAAAGAAGTATGAAAAACAATGTTTGCTTATATAATTTATATTTTAATAGAAGATAATAAGTTTCAATTGTGCTTCTAATTTTATTATTAAATTTACATGGTATTTTTTTTTTAAAATTAACAGGTCAAGTCAAAAAAGGCAAAGGAAAGGAAAGCACAAGAAAATCAAAAAAAAATTAATGTGATTTTTTTGCAACCTTTAAATATGTATAATTTTTAATATAATTTTTTTTTCATTTAAATAATAATTATATCAATGTTGAATAAAAATAAAATCTTTTGAATATGTAATTAATTATATGATTCTCAGCACACTTTTCAGTGATTAAAATACATTTTAAATATGCTAATTTCAGTAATTAAATTACATTTTAAATATGTAATTTCAGTATGGATTCAGCACTTTTTCAGTAATTAAAATACATTTTGAATACATAAATTCAGTATTGATTCAGCACCTTTTCAGTAATTAAAATATGTTTTGAATATGTAAATTCAGTATGGATTCAGCACCTTTTCAATAATTAAAATATGTTTTGAATATGTAAATTCAGCACCTTTTCGGTAATTAAAATACATTTTGAAAATGTAATTTCAGTATGGATTCAGCACCTTTTCAGTAATTAAAATATGTTTTGAATATGTAAATTCAGTATGGATTCAGCACCTTTTCAATAAT